GAAAACAAGTTATCAGCATCTCCCAAGAGTTATAAAAACCACTAGGGAAAAAAAAATAATTTCAACCGCCCCCCACACAAGGGGCTTTGCAAATCTCAGCCAGGAGGGTCAGTGCCCTGCCTGTGACTGTGATTTGAGGCACCCTCCTTCCTAATCCCATGACACTGCTTTTGTCAGAGCAAAGCTGCATCAGGTCTAAAATAAAGCATTGAGACTTCAGATTGTTCCTCTGCTGGAGAGCAGCCTCTCCTCTGGCCACTGCCAGCCTTTAAAAAGCCTCTGATTCATGATGCTTCAGACACACGAGGTTAGAATGACAAATTAAAGCCGACCCCGATTCAAAACGAGGCTGGTGAACTTTAGGTCAAAACTTTAAAGGTTTTGCTGCCCACTCAGAAACATCAACAGCTCCTGAGATGGAATTCAACATCTGAGTGCAAGTGTGTGGTTTTCAAGTCTGAGAGCAAGACCAGTTAAAAGAGAACAGCAAGAACAGCAGTGATGTGAAGGTGGATCTAAAGGCAGAAGAGAAAAAAGGAAGCTCAGGTACAACTGAATCAGACTGTTATGTAAGGAACAGAAATCACAGAGATTTAAAAGATCTATTAATCATCTGGGCTCAAATAGACAGTCAAATGTCTCTGCTGAGCCCCTCACTCTCTCAGTCAGCAAGTGGCAGCCAGAAAGAAGCATGAACAGAGCTAAAATCATCTTCCCCTTTCCCACAGAGAGCAGCTCCTGCAGAAGGAACACACTTTACACCCCTCAGCCCACCTGGAAAACTTCCACCTGAAAGTGCCAATTAAACTGAAAACCAATTGCCTTTGAGGGTGTTGAGTTTGGGACCATGAGTTCAAGTAAGGGGCTCCTGAGAGCATGAACCAGGCAGCAGCCTGCAATGGTTACCTGAGGTGATGTGTTCCTGCTGAAGCCCCAGAAGCTCTGTCAGAATCCCCACACACTGCTCTGTATATGTCCTGGCAATATTGGCTGCAAGGATGCCAAAAAGACATAAAAATCAACCTTTTATCACAGTGAAACGGGAATCATGAGCCCAGCTACTTTGCACAAACTCCCTTTAAAGAAACAGTCTCCTTCCTTTCTGACTACCGTTTCTGAAAGTGTGACCGAATGAACTTGTTCTCCACACCAGGGACATGTTCCTTTTTTAGAGGCCATGCCTGAGAAGATTTCTGAACCTTCCCTAAATGTAATACATTTTAAAAAGCATTTTATCATCCTCAACTTTCTCCTTATGAATACAGTAATAATTCACCTAGTTTTAAAGCTCACAAAACCAAAACTCCCACCTTAACTCTGCCCCCATCACAACTCAAAGAACAAGCAGATATTAGAGCTCCTCCACCTCCTGCAGAGTTTCACTGAACACTTTAAGGCTCATTAACAAGATGAAATGACATGTTTGCCCTAGAGCATCTCCTCACAGCACGAGATTCAAGGACTTTCTGCACAACCCGGAGCAGCTCAGTGCCAGGACTTCTGAAATAATCAATGTTCAGAAACACTGACACAAACCACTCCTGGGCAGGTTGGTGTCTGTGCTGCTGCAGCACAGAGCAGCGATTTGGTGCCAAGTACAGAGAAAATCCCCCCTGAAAGGTCCAGGGCTGCAGCCAAGCCCAGCCCAGCTCTCACCGATGGCAAAGATCGCTCCCTGTGCCAGCTCCACCGACACATCAGTGCAGTAACCCTTCAGCTCCTCCAGCACCTGCTGCACGTTCTCATCATTCACCAGCTCACACAGCACCTCCATCTTCTGGCATTTGATGTAGTGGGGCTCTGAGTAGGAGCAGAAGAACTTTTTGTAGTGGCTGCTGAAGTGGCCGGGCAGGCTCCTGAGGATCTGGCGCACGTGGCACAGCGCGGTGAAGCAGAGCTCCCTGCTCTCCGAGGTGCAGGCAGACAGCAGAGGGCCTTTCACCCTCACCAGCACATCTGCCTGCACATCTGGGTACTCCCTGGCCAGCACCAGGAACAGCTTGGTGGCTGCCATCACGACGCTGGGGCTGCTGCTCTTGAGGTAGGCGTCGAGCAGGTTGAGGATGTCGAAGAGCTCGTCCTCGCTGCGGGGTTTGTAGCGCAGCAGGAAGGTGAGCACCTCGCTCTGCCCCCACTGATCCAGGTCGGGCATCCTGCCAGGAGCACGGGGAGTGTGCAGTCAGGGAGGGCAGGAACATCTGTGCACAGCAGAGGCCTCAGCCTCTGACCTCCTTACAGCCTCTGTTCCCAACCAAGCGGGAGCCACAAGAGAACTGCCCTGTTATTAACTCTGTACCAGGCACCTGCACTTCTGCTGGTGTCTGCACCAGGCAGCAACACTGACAAGAACCCTGGAAAGAGCAATACCCCTCTTTTCCTAAATCATGTGGAATTACCTGCAGAAAAACTCATTTCTTGAAGCACCACAGTTGTGTATCTTTCAATGCATCTGGACAGACATGCTAGAACATACCTGTCCCACAGATATATCATGTGTATTATCACTAAGAAAACCCCAAAAGTCTGATCATTTTAACCTACAATTCCAAACCAAACCACCAGCTGAGGCAAAGACTCCCTAGAAGAGCAGGGCATCCCAGATTTCCCTTCAGACCTTAGCCTGAAGTGGTTCAGTTTATCTTAGGATGGCCACCTCCATCTCGGGGTGCCTGACAAGAGGTCAGAGAAGGTTATGTCCCCCAGGAACTGCCTCTCTGCATAGAAAACATGAGAACAACAGAAGCTTTCAGCACTATCTTAATACCAAAGAAAACAAACCTGTTGAGGAGATGATGGGCAATGGGTTTGTTGATGACAACACCTCCCTCCTTCTTCAAGATCTCTTCCAGGGCCCTCAGACAGTTCACGACCACAATGGGGTCCTGGTCACGAAGCAAACTGTAGAGCTCATTCACCAGAGCACCATCTGCAAAGCACAGAGCTCCTGCCATCAAGATCTGTTAGCAGACTGCAGTTTAATCACTGTGTGTATTTATCACAAAACCCAAAAAACAAAAAAAAACCCCAAAAAACCCCACCCAAAAGTGGCTTGAACTGGGAGAAAGGATCAACAAAACTACAAGCTCTACAGCAACACCTGCCCTTGGCATGGCTTTTCCCTGAGGGTCTGTGTGGGTCACAGTGGCCCTTGGCTAATCAGAGATTGGGGATGGAACAAAATCATTCAATCACTGAATTACAGAATGTTATGGGCTGGAATGGACTTTAAAGCCCAGCCAGTCCCACCCCAGCCATGGCCAGGGACACCTTCCACTATCCCAGGCTGCTCCCAGCCCTGTCCAACCTGGCCTTGGACACTTCCAGGGATCCAGGGGCAGCCACAGCTGCTCTGGGCACCCTGTGCCAGGGCCTCCCCACCCTCACAGGGAACAATGTCTTCCTAATATCCTAAACCTGCTCTCTTCCAGTTTGAAGCTTGTCCTTTGCCCTGTCACTCCAGCCCTTCTCTAAAGTCCATCTCCAGCTCTCTTGCAGGCTCCCTTCAGGTACTGAAGGCCACATTCAGTTCTCCCAGGAACCTTCTGTTCTCCAGGCTGAAAAACCCCAATTTTCTCAGTCTTTCACTAATTACCCTCCACTTTTTCTCTTTCTGCCCTGCAGCCACGACAACACGGGGGCAGCTCAGGGACCCCAAGACACCCCTAAAGGCTGAACGGGCATCACGAATACAGCACGTCCCCAGCCCCAGGGCCACCAGCCCCAGCCCCAGGGCCACCAGCCACGCACCCACTTCGCAGTCTCCCTGCAGCTTCACCATCTTGGCACAGCCCAGCACGGCCGCCCTGCGCACGTAGGACGCCTTGTCCCGCAGCCCGCACACCAGGGGCTGCTGCAGGTACTCCTGGATCCCGGGCATCCTGCGGGAGGGCAGCGGGCCATCAGCGGGGCACGGCGGGCAGGACAGCCCCGGGAGGGCAGGGACAGCTCCGGGGAGGGCAGGGACAGCTCGGGGAGGGCAGGGACAGCTCCGGGGAGGGCAGGGACAGCCCCGGGAGGGCAGGGACAGCTCCGGGGAGGGCAGGGACAGCCCCGGGAGGGCAGGGACAGCACCGGGAGGGCAGGGACAGCACCGGGGAGGGCAGGGACAGCTCCGGGGAGGGCAGGGACAGCACCAGGGAGGGCAGGGACAGGCCCGGGAGGGCAGGGACAGCTCCGGGGAGGGCAGGGACAGGCCCGGGAGGGCAGGGACAGGCCCGGGAGGGCAGGGACAGCACCGGGGAGGGCAGGGACAGCACCGGGGAGCCCCCGCACCTGAGGTCGCACATGGTGCGCAGGGCGAGTCCCCGCACGGCCGGGCTGGGGTGCGCGCAGTCCTTGCGCAGGGAGTTGACGGCGAGCAGCGCCAGCTGCGGCTGCCGCGGGGCCTGGGCGCGCACGTAGAACGACACCAGCTTCTTCTGCACCACGTCCGGCACCGCGCCCGCCTTCACCATCTCCGGGAACAGCCCCGACACGTCGGCGCCCTGCGCCATCAGCCTGCGGCGGGGACAGCGCTCAGCGCGGCCCGGCCCGGCCCCGCGGCCCCCGCCCGGCCCGGCCCGGCCCTGCCCGCCGTACCGGATGACGCGCAGCACGGCGCCCCGGTACCGCGCCGGGTCCGCCTGCACGTGCGGGTTCGAGAGCGCCCGGCGGAGCTCTCGCTGCACCTCCTCACCGCCCAGGTACGGCATGGCCCCTGAGCGCCGGTGCCACTCCGAGCACTAGGACCCGGTGCCGGCCGCAATCCCAAGTCCCTGTCGCGATCCCAGGATGCAGCCCCGGTCCAAGATCCTAATCCCAGGTGCCAGTCCCGCTCCCAGCCCCACTCCCAGCTCCCGATCCCGATCCCGGTCCCGGTCCCCAGCGCCCCGCCCACGTGACCCCGCGCCCGTGACACCGCCCCGCCCCTGGCGCGCGGCCCGGCCCCGCCCCGCGCCACCCGCGCGTGCGCGGCGCTTCCCGCCAAAACCGGCGTGAGGGGAGCGGGGTCCCGGCCCGCCATGAGCGGGATGGTGCTGCCCGGGACCCCCATCGCCGTGGACTTCTGGAGCCTGCGGAGGGCGGCCGGCGCCCGCCTTTTCTTCCTGTCGCACATGCACTCGGACCACACGGTGGGGTTGTCCAGCACCTGGAGCCGCCCGCTGTACTGCTCCCCGCTCACTGCCCGCCTCCTGCACCGCCGCCTGCAGGTAGGTGTGTCCCGCCCGTCCCGGCCTTCATCGCCAGGACATCCCCACCTGCCTGTCCCAACCCTTGTCACCTGCCCGTCCCAACCCTTGTCACCTGCCCTACCCAGCCCTCACACCTCGGCCCCTGCAGGTGCCGATGTGCTGGATCCGGCCGCTGGAGGTGGGGCAGAGCCATGTCGTGGGTGAGGTGACGGTGACGCTGATCGACTCCAACCACTGCCCTGGCTCCGTTATGTTCCTCTTTGAGGGCACCTTCGGCACCATCCTCTACACAGGTACAGGGCAGGTTCCCACAATCACAGAATCACAAAAGTGGGTCAGGTTGGAAGGGACTGCAGTGGGTCACCCGGTCCCAACTCCTTGCTCAAGCAGGGTTATCCCAAAGCGTGTGGCACAGAATTGTGACCAGATGGTTCTGAAATACCTTCAGTGAGAGAAACTCCACTCTTGCCCTGCCATCCCTGTCCTTGCAGGAGATTTCCGCTACGCGAGTGCCATGCAGTGCGAGCCAGCACTGAGGGGCCGCCACATCGACCGCCTGTACCTGGACAACACGCACTGCCACCCCCAGCGGGCCCTGCCCTCGCGGGCACTGGCCACCCGCCAGGCTGCTCGCCTCATCCGTGCCCACCCGCAGCACCACGTGGTCATCGGTGAGTGCTGCCCTCCCTCCTGCCAGCACGGCCCAACGGGGCTCGTGTCCCCCTGCCCTGTCCCTGAGCTGCTGCTCCCCTGGCAGGTGTGTACACCCTGGGCAAGGAGACGCTGCTGGTGGACCTGGCTCTGGAGTTCAGCACGTGGGTGGTGGTGAGCCCCTGGCGCCTGGAGCAGATGCGGCTGCTGGAGCTGCCGGATGTGTTCACTGCCGAGGAGGGCGCGGGCTGGATCCGCGCCGTGGATGTCGCCGAGATCCGCTGGGACACCCTGGTCACCTGGAACACGCTGCACCCCACCATTGCCATCATCCCCACGGGCAGGCCCGTGAAGGTCACCCACCCCAACATCCACCTCATCCCATACTCGGATCACTCGTCCTTTGCGGAGCTGCGCGAGTTTGTGAAGTGGCTGAAACCCTGCTCCATCATCCCCATTGTGAAGAGCGACATGTGCCAGGGTTACTTTCAGGAATACCTGAGCTCTGCTCCTCAGGTACTTCCTGACTTCAATGTCTCAAAGCCTGTGCAAGAGTCTGGACAGCAGCAAAGCCAAAGGAGGGGGCAGAAACCCACAAATCTCTGGAAAAGAGCCCCGTGGAGGTCTGTGCCCCGAGGGGTTGTTTATGAGTCCCCAGAGAAAAATACTGAGAAACCTGAAGTGTTTACAGATGTTAAGGTTCCTCAGCACTACTGTGAGCCAGCTCTCTGCTCCAAAGAAGGCTGCACTTGCTGCAGGGGTGAGAAGGAACAGCTGGGAACAGGAGGAGCAGCATCTGTTTCCAGTGAGCACCTTGCAACTGGATTCGCAGAGCAGTATCTACTCAGTCCCTTAAATGTCCTAAAGCAGAATTCCTCACAGACGTTTGATCAGCTGGTAGAAGACTTTTTTCGGAAGGGAGAGACACCCTGAAAAACTGTGTGACATTGCTGGTGCCAGTGCAGCAGGTAGCAGTGTTTCATTCTGCTCCATGCTCAGGTTTCCCATTAGGAGAGGGGAGCTCAGCTCTGGGGCTCTACTCTCTTTATAGAGGACAAAGAGGAAACTAGAACCAGCTTGTAGATGGTACTTTAAAGCTTATTTATTTTTTTATCGCTACATCTGCTGTGTCCCCACACTACGCTGGGCACTGTGGTCCCACTGTCTGTGTGCCTTGTGTCCACTTCTGCAGTGACTTGCCTGTCCCCTGTTAGAAAAGTCACTGAGAGGTTGATCCAGCAGAGCTGCAGAGGGTGTGAGCTGTCTGCAGCTGACTAATTGGTGTCTGGAATGTGCTGAAAGGAGCAAGGGGGGAATCGGAGAGCCTCAAAGATTCTCCTTTCTATAAGTCTGTGATACCTCACTGACTATGAGCATTTCATTCCAGAGTGAATTACAAATGTTCTTTATTAAGGTGCTTTTTAAAAATGCTGCTTAAAGAAACGTAGACAATGAAGTGCCTTAAAGTCCAATAATCTGTTTTCTACCTGTTAATCTACTAATACTTCCAGCTTTTGCATCCAGCCAGCCAACTTGCATCTGGATGTAGTCCTGCTCTCCTCAAAGTGCCATCTCAATGCTAATTGTAAGTGCATTTTCAAGTTTGTGGCCAGGAAAAGTAGGAATTGTCTGGGTTCTTGAGTTGTAGGCCTTGCAGAGTGGGTCACTAAATCCTCTACAGTCTCTGCTCTCAGCCTTGCACCTCTGAGTTGTGTTTGATTGCAAAGCACTCCTGGTAACCACCAGTGTTCTGCCCTCCCATTCTGCCTGCTCTTGTCCTGCAGTGGCAGATGGAATGGGAGATAATGAAACATCTGCTTGGTGGTGTGAAGTGCTCAGTCTGAGCAGCATTGTTTAGAAAGATTGTGACTGAACAGCAGAACCGGCTCTGTTAGTTACAGCTTGGGCACCTTCCCACTCTGGATCAGCCTGGCACAGCTGGGAAGTGTCTGTTGTGTGACAAACCACTGGGTACCCCTGTAGCTGACTGTGCCAAACAGCACTGCCAGTGGTTCAGATTGGCCCCTTATGTGGGCAGGGCAGCTGGAGTGGAAATGGTCACTGGACACTGTCCTGGAACAAATCAGTTTGTTCCTCAGCTCCCTTGATCCTCCTTTTGTTATAAAAGGTTTCAGGATTTTCTGAACATAGTGCCCTGCAGGGCCTTTCCAAGTGGCAGCTAGATGGGTTGAATTCCCTGAATTGAGGCAGGAAAGGAAGTTTGCTCCTGGAGTAGAGCCAGGCCTTGTGAAAAGCAGAAATGGCCCTGGATGCAGCAGTCACAAACAGGGCTGTCCAGAACAGTGAGAGTGTTGACAGCCAGAGTGGGGATGTTTGTTTGCTGATTGTTTGGCAAACGTGAATCCTGCCTCCCAACGCTGTGCTTTCCCAGGCATGGCAACATTTATCCCTGTTACCTAAGGCGTGCCTGTCCCTGGGACTGTGTGGTTCTGCTGCCAAGGGGACATTGGAGGTGACAGAGCAGTGTCCTGTGAACTGCACACAGGGCAGCAAGGGCAGCTTGAGCCTCCTGCTGTGGGCGCTGTGTCCTGCTGCTTGGAGTTTTCTGTGTGGATTATTTCCTAATCCAAACTGAACTGCACGGCTCCGTCAGGTGGGTGTGAGTGGAGACACCTGCACGTTTTGTAACATGGAAATGATGGTGCTGTGCTTGTAGTGTGCTGGCTGCTGCTGCCTGGGAGATGCAGGCTGTTATTTAAATATTGTTGAAATTCAAGTGACTCATTTGACAGGCAGGGGAGTGAAGTACTGCCTGAACTCCCAAATTCCACGTCCTGCTTTGAGCAGCCTCTCCACTGCTGGGGAGGAATGCTCATCTTCTGAATCACTGCTCCACTTGGGCATGTTGCAAATGACCTGGGAGATCTGATGTTTTGTGGCAGCCAGCCTTTCCTCTTTTATTCTTATCAACTATTTATTAAAGTAAATGGAGAACCTCCTGGTCAGCCTCTGGGCAAAAAGGAGTTGTAAATGGTAATTCTTTACAGATGTAAATCTGAGCTTTAATCATGCACAAACAAGGGAACATTGCAAACTTCAGAGTCTGAGGATCTGCGTCCTATTTCTGTGTGCTCAGTTAAAGCTGCAGAATAAAATGCTGGTTTTACTTTCTAGAGCTGAAAAGGTAATTCCTGCCACTTGAGGAGGGACTTATCCATCATGCAGAGTCAAGGAAAAATCTCTGTGGCTTTAAAAGCCAACAGAAGCAGGAGAGACTTGACCAATAGTCAGTTTGTTGGAGACTTTTGCCTCAGCACAACAGGTGCACAAGGCAACAAACCATTTTAGTGCCAAATATTTCTTCCCTGTTAGGTGTTTAAATACTACTTTTGTATGCCATTCTAAAATGCTGGAAAGTAAAATGTGGCCTTGTGGGGAAAACTGGAATTGTTGACTGTTGGGGCTTCTGGTCATCCTTCAGCTTCCCCTGAAGATGGTTTAGTGGACCTGGCAGTGCTGGGTTAATGGTTGGACTCTGTGATCTTAAATGAATTTTCCAACCTAAAAGATTCCATGAAGTCTCCTGGCAGTAAATATTTGGTCTCTTACAGGCCTTGTTCTCCCTCACACTTGTCTCCACAATCTCTCTATTTTCCTGCCCCCCAGCCTGGCTCACAGGGGAGCAGCTGAGAGCTGGAGTGTCACAGAGAGCAGGCTCTGAGCCTGCTGCTCCCAGCTCACCTGCACTGCTGCCCACAGGTGTGTTTTGCTCACAACACGGACAAGGAGAAGCTGCAGCCCAGTATTGGCATCTCTGTAGGGGATCTGAGGGCCACATGCTTGGAAACTTCAGATACCCTGACAGGGAACAGAACGTGCTCCGAGCAAAGTCCTCCCAAATCTACACACACAGAGCATGCTCCAGCTGCTTATCTCTGCTCCACAGTTGGGAACCAAGCCCCAGTGAGGGGAAACAGCTCAGCCAAGGCCTTGTAGAGGAACAAGGAACGAGCCGAGTTCCCTTTGGCAAGTTCTCAGTGCTGTTTCACCAAGCTGTGATCAAATTCTGGCATGTTGTGAGGGCAGGGTCTGGAGCAGAGCTGCCTGGGGAGGGTCAATCGCTGCACTATGAACAGCTCAGTTGGCTCCAACTTCTCCAAACAGTAGGAAAGCATGAAGGAGTGCCCTGTTTATGCTGTGGAGAGGGGAAAATTGCTCTCTAGGTTGTTGTTGAGAGGCTGAGGTAAAACTTGCGTGGCTCCTGTGCTCCACAGAAACAAGTGTGTAACGTCAGCTTGCAGGGAGCACCCCAGAGCACTGCTGGCTTGGGTTTCTGACTCTGCTTCCCCAATTACAAGGCCAAAGCACATCCAACAACTTCTCTCTTCCCTGCTGCAGAGCTGCTCTCTGTTCCTGCAGCACAGGGGCTTCTTTCCTAGATTAAAAAAACCTGCAATGGTGAAGGCTTTCCTTCACCAGAAAATTAATGAGTTTACATAATTACAGTGTGTGGTCACTTTGGATTTATTCCAAAGCCTAAATCTCTTTGTGTTTTTTTTTTATGGAGTCCTCTGAAAAGGCACTAGAACCTTTTGAAAAGGTAGAATCACCTTGATAATCATGTGAGGTGCTGCCTTCAAGCGAGCTCCTGTGGATGTTGTGTGTTTGTGATTCCTTCTGCTGAATTTGGGATCTTTTGCCACAGCCCCTGCCGTGCTGAAGATTTTCTGGCTGTGGCTTTGCCCTTGGCCAAACCCCAGCCTGAGGCACAAGCAGCCATGGGTTGTGCAATAAAATCTTTGGGACAGACCTTGACCAGGAGCCTCTTGGCTCTGGCTCAGGGAGGCTGGGACTTCCTGAGCAGGTGCTGGGGAAGGTGGGAATTGTGTTGCACACTGTCCTGGAGGTCACTGTGAGCCTGCAGAGAATTGTGCTGAGAGAACAGAGTCCTCCATGCAGGACTGAGACCTCCCTGTCTCAGAGGGTCCAGAGCTCCTCAACAGTGTTTTGCTGGAGGGGGTTCACACTTCTTGTGCTGCTGTTCATGTAAACAGGAAGCTGTGAAGAGTTTCTGAGGTTTTCATGGAATGGTTTAGGTTGGAAGGGACCTTAAAGATCATCAAGTTCCGAAGCCTGACACGGGCAGGGACAACTTCCACTACACCAGGTTGCTCCAAGCTCTGCCTGACCTGGCCTTAAGCACTTCCAGGAGTGGGGCAGCCATGGCTCCTCTGTGAATCTGTGCCCCGGCCTTACCACCCTCTGAATAAAGAATTTTTTCCCAATATCTAATCTAAACCTGCTCTCAGTCTGAATTTTGGTTGAGTATTTGTAATTTGTAATTATTTTTAAATCTTGTAAACTTTTACAAGAAAGCCAATAAACATCTCTGTAACATTTACTTTGGAATAGGCTGAATTGAAATGCTGTGGAGTTCTTGAGTGGGTGACGGTGACCTGACTGGACTAAATTCCTTCTTGGAAGCATTTGACCTGGTGCCACGTCCCTGTGCCAGCAGGGCCATCACAGAGCACATGGCACAGGATTGTGTCCAGAGGGTTCTGGAATATCTCCAGTGAGGGAGACTCCACACCCTTTCTGGGCAATCTGTTCCCTCACAAGAAAAAATTTCTTCCTCACGTTCAGGTGAAACTTCCTGAGCATCAGTTCCTGCCCGTTCCCCTGGTACCATCGCTGTGCCCGGGAGCAGAGCCTGGGCCTGGCCTGACACCCAGCGCACGGCCCGGCCCGACTCGGTTACCGGTGCTGTCCCGTTGGGTTCCAGGGCCCGGCCTGGCCCCGGCTCAGTTGCCGGTGCTGTCCCGTTGGAATCTCCGGCCCTGTTGAGTTACCCGGCCCGGCTCGGTTGCCGGTGCCGTCCCGTTGGGTTGCCCAGCTCGGCCCGGCCCCGCTCGGTTCCCGGTGCTGTCCCGTTGGGTTGCCCAGCCCGGCCCGGCCCCGCTCGGTTGTCGGTGCCGTCCCGTTGGGTTGCCCAGCCCGGCCCGGCCCCGCTCTGTTGCCCAGCCCCGCCCCGCTCAGGCCCGGCCCGGCCCCGGCGCTTCCTGCGGCCGCCCCGCCCCGCGGTCACGTGCGCGCTCGCCCGCTCGGGGCTCGGCTGGCTCGGCCTGTGCGGGCGCTCGGGGCCCGGAGCGGCGGCGGGAGCGCGGCGGGGCCGGGGGCGCTCGGGCCCGGGGCGGCGGCGGGACGGGGCGGGGGGAGCCCGGCCGGGCCGTGAGGGCGCGGCGGAGCCTGGCGGCGGCGGCGAAGCGGCCTGGGGGCTCCCCCCGGCGAGCGCGGGCCGAGCGGGCCGGGCCGGCGGCCGTGGCGGGGCTATGATGAGCCCGCTGCGGGGCTCCGCACCCCCGCGTGTCCCCCAGGCAGATCCGGCCCGCGGCTGAGAACCCCCCACCGGCGGTGAGTGCGGGCGGCGGGGCTCGGCGGGGCGGGCAGGCCCGGGCCCGCCCCTTCCCCCGCGCTGGGGCTGCGCCGGGCCGGGGAGGGCCCGGGGCGGCGGCGAGGCCGGGCCCGAGCCCCGGTAACGGCCCGGCCCGGGGGCTCCGCTCCCGGCGGGTTCCGCTCCCCGCGTTCCGGGCCGTGCGGCGGGCGCTGCCCCGGGGGGAGGTTGGGCCTGCCGGCGTTGGGTTTCCCACCGACTCTGTTTTTACAGTGCCTGGGAAACGGGCCTGGGGACGGGATCGTAATTTGCGCAGGGTCTTCCCACTTCCTGCGCTCCCCCGATCCTCAGTATTGTTTTCGTCAGTACAGGGGGTTTTTTTTTAGCCTGTAGAAAAGGCGGCTCGGGAGTGACCTTATCACACTCTGCAAGTCCCTGAAAGGAGGGTGTAGCCAGGTGGGGGTCGGGCTCCTCTCCCGGGTAACGAGC